AATATATATGTATATAATTTTGAAAATGTTTCTTGATAATAAGCTATAGACGTGGCAATATACATATGTATGTTACGATGTATGTCATCGGCAATGTAATGATGCCTTTTTCCTGGCAATTGCCTATGACTAACATCAAGGGTAAACAAAGCAAAGTGAAAATACAGGAGGAGCTGCTCGAGGTGAATGTGAAGGCTTTCTGAGTAGAGTTATATAATTGTGTGGTTGAGGTGAATTCATTGCATGAAACGCTGTACTCAATGGTGCATTTACTAAATGTGGTATGAAAGGGACGAGACTTTCCAAAAAGCGTGGAGTTGGATAAATGAGCAATTGCTGGCTAGAAATACATAGGGCATTGCGAAGGAGATGGGGTTTTGTTATGAAAAATGTGGGCAATATATTCGCTGTTGTATTCTGAAGATCGGGTTTGCATACAGTACTGTTAGCAATAGTAGGGGACCATAAGAAATTATGTAACTAATTTTCCTAGTTTCACCTCATCCACTGAGCGCATCGATCAATCAGCTCATCAGTGGGGACGTTCCGTAACCGGGTGGCAAATCGAAACGCCTTCGGGGTCCCATTAGGAAAACGAAGAACATCATAGGAGTACTTATCGCTAGCCATGAGAAATCCTCGTAGGTTTTCGGAAAAGGCCTAAAAGTCGAGAAAATCGATAACTCCCGGAAATAAGGCTAAGGTGATCAATGAATGGCGCACCTCTTCATCGTCGACGATGCCTTTCCATGCATCCACAAAACCCAATTCTCCTATATACTTTTCAAAAGCAAAATACCAGAATTCGGTGCTATTCCGACCAGCAGAACAGGGTGATTTCTTAATTATATAATCAATAAATCAATACCTGTTTCCTGGAGATATAGATCACCTCAATTCTATCGAGCAGATGTAAAAATGGCTCCCGTTCAGTGGCGATAGCCATTCGAGGTGGTTTCATTACAGCAACATCCATTCGAGTAATGTCTTCTGGGAAGTATTGCTTTCGAATTTCGAGAAAATGGCGAGGGCGTGAATCAGTTAGTACGATATTGATTAGCTGAAAATCGAGACAACAATCAAGGCTAGTCAATAGTTTTTGAAAGATATGGCCCTAGCTTTTGGTCGACCCATACGGAATGCTGCGCCCTGTCAAATTCCAGTTGTGCTTCTTAACATTATGGACATTTTTGATGTATACTGTTGAATGCACTGCTTTTTAAGGAGGAAGCCCTCATTTATTTCATGATTTCCATAGAAACCAGAAAAAAAACGAGCGAAGTAGCGGACCATAACTTCCCAAAAAGAGTTGGGGCGAAATTCTCTTGGAGAAAACTGGCATTTTCCCCAGCTGTAGTGGTCAGTTCACAACTAGGGGGCTAGAGTGTTCAGAACATTTCCCAGTTTTGGAATATTTTTGATAAAGGTGATCAGAGTTAGAGACCATATTCAGGTAGAGGTGGAGGCAGCAGATGCAAGAAGTATGCAAGGCAAATTGGGGTAATGTGATCGAGATTCTTCCTCCTCCTCTCTCCACCCCCCCCCCCCCCNAAAAAAAAAATCAAAATTGGGAACTATTGTATTTGGCTGCGACCTATTTTCAGCAATTTAAAATCTATTTTCTGTAAGGTAAAGAAGCATATGTAAAGCTTACATCGAAGCCTACGATTACTCTCTGGGATCCTATGATTGCCGCAGTTGCGTAGGAAACAAATAGCAGAAGTGCCAACGTTACAGTCCATCCATTCGCAATGAATGGGGCGTAGTAGTCTTCGAAAAATCTCTGATACCACATTCGGTTGTCCTGAACTCGTTGAAAAGTTGAACATTTTCCAGGAAATTCTCGAACATATAGAGCTATCCGGCCTATTTCTACCGAATTAAACCTGAAGCACACTTAGAGCTTGAGCGGTGGCCTTGAGCACGATTTTGGGTTCATTTGTCTTCCAGTATATTAGAAATGACTTCAATCGTACCTTTGACTTCTTAGAACCCTCGTCGTACGCTGTGGGAACATAGTCCGACTGCTCATCTTGGATAGAGCCCATGTGAAAGGCCAGGTCAGTTAGTGATAACTTCTCTGGAAGAGTTGAAGCTGGTAAACTTCTGGATTGTTTTGTTATGCGGCAAAAGCTGTGTTTACCTAGACGACTCAGATCCTTCACCGGACCCATAAGAAGTGAATTCGCATTCCGTTCCTCCAATCGTCCTTGTAAGGCTAGGCATGCGACAAACATCGTAAGACAGTACAAAAATATGAAGATGATCGCCGCACAGGAATAAAAGCAGAAATACTTGACCTGAACTGAGATTTCGTAAGACCCGAGTGTTCAGGCACCAAGTGATCGGCCCAGCTCCAAATTTTCGTGGCCCTCGACAATGGGCACATTGAGAATAAGGACGGGCCACGAACTTCCTATTGGTGCATTTCCTGTGAAAACGAGAATCCCATCAATGGGAAGTCCGTAGTGATCTCAGGCTCCCCGCCCACAAACACAAGGTGTTCTTCGCCTTCAGGGTCGTCAAGCTGTTTCCATAGGCTTACCGCTGGTAGAGGTGCAATGGCTCCGATGAGGAATGCTAGTGCGTCGGTCAGTGTCGTAATGCTGATAGAGACAGCTGCATGGCGCATTGATAAACCAATTCTTTCGTGGACTTTCAGATGACGAGGTGTCTCATGCCAAGCGGCCAACATCAGAAACGAATCATCGATGCCGATTGCTGAATTGGAAGAAGTTACATAGAAGCCCGGTTAGGTTGCCCCACACGAACGGATCTAATTTATTCTAGACAGAATCGTGTAGATGGATGTGATGCAGTGGCTTAATCGTAAGGCGCCCTATTGTATTGCTCGTTACAGTTGATCAGATCGAATCCTATCTAGGCCACCTCTATCATTCTTCTTAAAGTTCGGTATCTAGTCAAAGTGGAGGTTAATACATCGAAAGCGATGAGTGGGGAAGTAGGTCGGGAAACGGATCTCATCATATTTGCATCATTAAAGGGCATCTTTAGCAGAGGGAGATTCATCGTAACCTGCATCTGCAAGTTTTTTTCGAGCATCTCTCAGACCCAACTCATTCCCCAAGACCACTATCCACTCAAATCCATCTAGACTTTTGAACCGACGAACTCTACAAAACTCAGCCTTTGGAAGACTCACTCAAGCTGAGGAACGGCATCACAGTGCACATATCAACGAAAGTTACTCCGAGGAATAAAAGCAGTCCAGTTGATGAGATGATTGCCAATAATGCTGATACCACACCGACCACACCCATCAAAGGCTTGCTCAGAACCTGAAAAAGCCGAGTACCTTGAGGCTTGGGATAAACTGGAAGAAGCAATGGAACTCTATTTTGTGAAGAGAAGTTCTAACTCAGATCAGGGATGATTAGAGCCGAGAGGCAATCAATGCTGTAAAAAGGCGAAGCCAAAGCTCCTTAAGAGGAAGACTTCAAAGGAGAAACGGCGCTCTCACCCAATCAATGACTGGTATAGTCAGTGGTGAATCCGATATAACTCCAGATGGTAGGCAAATCCATTTTATATTGAAAGTGCACAGTATTGAGAAGACGATCAGTACCGAGAAGGTGATGGAGAACCTGGAAATATTCATTTTGATCAGGTAGAAGTACGAGAAGCGCGATTATAAATCCTCTGATTCACTACTTGTAAGCACTCAAGAAATAAACTCGTCGGTAGGGTGTTTTCCATCTCCACCGTACCGGCTTATCTGGAAAGGCTTCATCCCAGAGGTGAAATCAAGGTATGCCGCCTCGCAAACCTAAACCCTGCTAGAAATCTTATGATTAGGAGTTTTGGACGTTCAGGCAGTTCTAGACCTGCCGCTAACCCTCTTGACCGTCTTACTTCTTACCCAAACTTACTTCATAAAGAGAGTTCAAAGTAGCTATGAAAGGGGTTAGCGGCTAACGAGATCCGTTTTCCTATGGAGTAACTCAAACAATTTTTTCGCGACCTTCAATTTCAAAGTTTTCTCGAAGAACGTTGACAGTCTAGTTCTGAAAACTTATACTTGCCTGTTCCTAGAGTGAAGTCGAAAATTTACAAAATAAGAGGTCAACAGGGACGCCCGAAGCCGCTGTGAAACTCCACGGATTATAAGTAAAAAGTTAAAAATAAAAAATCACTATAAAAATCTATTGAGGAATGTCTTACATGGGAGTGATCCGTCGATTTTCATTGGCCAATTCTTGATCGAAAGTATCCGAGTGGAAGTAATAGATGTCCAAGAGTGGGCCCGGTGCCTCCCCCGCCTCAATCGCACGAGCCACCAGATTTTCGAATTCCCTGAAAATTTTTTTCTCTAGAAATTTCTTTGGATTCGTAAACTGACCTCCTTCAAGATAATTAATATGTATCGTCAGTAACCATGTATTTTTCGTATCTCCTTGTTGTACTTATTATTATTTTTATATTTTTTCTGTTATAATTTTTTTATTATTATTATTTATTTGTTAAATTATGTTTATTTTATTTACATGCCGTTGTACCGGTTCTGGCTGGCAAACTCTACATGCAATACAAATTTGATTTGATATTTTTCGAACCTACTTCATTGCAAATGCCTCCGGATCATCAAAAGGTAACTACAAATTGCTTGAAATTTTAGATAAATAAACCAATATGGAAATTAAATTGAATAATTCGCGAATAAGTCAGAATTGCTATCATTGTGATCCGCCTCAAACGTCCCACGAAAACTCGTCCTTACGCGCTAAGCTTCTCCATTAGTGGATTATGATGTTTTAATTGGAAGAGCACGAGCCAAGCCTGAGCTGAATCGACCCGATTCCCATGCAGGACAACTCCGCCCAACGTTCGAGCCACATCCACAGGTTCAGTGGCAAAACTTGTGTGGTAGAGTGGAAAAGTCACGTTGAAATGATCCTAAAATCATAGATAATCAAGTGAACTCGTCAAAAAACTGACAGTCGCCCTACCTGATCGCCGTTTGCGTAGACTTCAGCGATGAGACGCGCATGCGTGTTGGAGAAGCATTCATTCTGAAAATAATAGAATTAATTTCTTTTGTCTTCATTTTGCGCTGCTCTTTCTATACTTATATTCTATATTTTATATTTTGTAACATTTTTACTTCTAGTCATGAATTTAATTTTCAATGCCTATATATTCAATAACATGAAAGGAGCCATGTCCAAGTAGTACACTAGCTTACATTCTTTTTGTAAGTAACAAATCATTTTAATTAAGACAAACATTTAAGAAAGGGATGGTTTCACTCCTTTTTTCCCCAGTAGATAAGGAGCGAAAACAGACAAGTAAAACTAGATGTTGACTAGTATTAAGGACTAGCGTTAATCAGTTTATTTGCTCCAGGACGAGCTCTGTGTCTGGATACTAGTCGATTAATCGATTTATAAGATTGCTGAATTAATAAAACTCGAAGTTGTGGGTAAAAATCGGTCGTTTCAGTGAAAAAAATCTGTTTACTTTCAAAAATTGGTATAAATTCCTGATTACCTGA